GACAGCTCTCCTCCCCAGCTGCCAGGCCTCCTGATCAAAAGGACCCCCAGGGGATGATATTGGTCAAATCATATTGTTCCATTGTGTGCACGTACAAACCTGGGGCAGCAAATCCACCATTATGCACAACTATAATGCATCAATTTAAAAAATATGGGGAGGAGGCGGGCGGGGCTGGGGCTCAGCGGTAGAGCACTCACCTAGCATGTGTGAGGCACTGGGTTCCATCCTCAGCACCACATACAAATAAAGAGATAAAGTAAAGATATTGTGTCCACCTTTAAAAATATACACATAGGGACAAATGACCCCAGGGTCCAGGTTCACCCCTGAACATTTTTCTATGAATTTAACAGTAGCCTCAAAGGGCCAGAAATCGTCTACAAACTTGCACATCAGCTCCTTTATCGGTCCCACTTCAAATGCAGATGTGTTTTGTGTCCTTGGCCCATTTGCCTGTGTGAGGTTGGTTGGTGACTGTTCTCTGATCCTTTTCAAATCTTTGCCTTCACAGCTCCTCCCACGAGGAGCTATTTTTTTTTTTTACAATAAATTCCTTATTCTATAAAACTAATAGTGGTTCTGCTTATCCAGTGGAGCCTTAACTAATGCACGTTTGAACAATGAGGGTCCTTAACAGAAACGAACTTTATCTTATCAACCCTATGTAAGTTTTCACTCTCGTAGTTTTGGTTTGGCTTGGGTTTTTGGTTTTCTTTGTTTTATTTTTTTGTTTGATTTGGGGTTTTTGTTGTTGTTGTTGTTGTTGTTGTTGTTGTTGTTTGGTTTTCTTTGGATTGAAGAGGGCGTAACTACTGAGCTATATCTCTAGCCCTTTTTATTTTTTATTTTGAGGCAGGGTCTCCCAAAGTTGGGGAGGCTAGCCTCCTGCCTCAGCCTCCCCAGCCACAGGATTACAGGCACTTCCCATGGTCCCCAACCACACTCGACCTCTGTATCAGGCAGGGTCCAGGCAGGAAAGAGAAGGCACATAAATAGTTGAAACCCAAGATTTTAGTAGAGGCAACGGTTACAACTTGATTGCTGAAAGTTTGCAAGAACAAAAACAGGACCCCCAGGCGACACATTAGTAACTACAAGATGCAGCCCCTCCCACCCAAAAGCTAGGGGACCAGAGGAAACCCCGTGAGTTTTCACACCCTGGATCCAGAGGAGGCAGCCCGAATCGCGGGTTCTTGGGTCTCTGCGGAAAGCGCAGGACCTGGCGCCCAAAGGACGGCCTTGGCAGTGGGCGCCCGGCTCGGTGGGCAGGGGCGGTGCTCGGAGCCTCCCCTCTCACTGCCGTAGTCCTCTCCCTCTTCGCCGCAGCTGTGTCTGTTCCGCACTCTCCTCAGCCTGGAGCCCCCTTCCGGCTCGCGGCTGTAGCTGGGGCGTTTACTCTTGGTCCCCAGCTCCGGGCGCCCCGCTCCCAGTCTTCCCGGACCCTCCGGAGTCTGGCGCCCCCTCGTGGTCACTTGGTGCCGCGCTTTCGAGCTGGGCGCTGTCCGCATCCTTGACCTTGGCCGAGCACCCTGCTGTCAGAAAGACACAGGGAGGCTTATCGGCAGGGATGTGTGACCCACACTGTGGACTTTGGGCGTGGGACTGTCCCCATGGGCATCTGAGTTCCGGGCGATCAGAGGGAGTGTTGGCCAGAGCCAGGGCAGTCCCCCAGCCCCCATTAGCTTTGCCACGGCTCTGCCCTGCTAGCTGCTCTGCCTCGAGCCGGCTCCAACCATGAAGCTCCTATCGCTGACTTTGGTGGCTCTGCTGCTCTTGTCCCAGCTCACTCCAGGTAACCTGGACCCCTTATGGGGAGGGGCAGGATGGAGAGACTGAGGTCCGGCCTCAAGGGCAGGGAGGACTGACTCCCTGGGCCAGCAAGGGGCCACCATTCAGGGCCGTGCAGAGGAGGTCACTGGCCAGCACCGGGTTGCAGATCCCAGGTACCAACTGCAACATCCAGAGTTTCTCCCCAGTCACTCCACCCTCCCTTCCTCTGCTCAGCTCCAGGAGCCTATGCAGGTGGCCTGGCACGTGAGGAAGAGTGGGACAGGTGGATAGGAGAAGCCAGGAGGAGGACAGGGCAATAGCAGAACCTTTACAAAAATAGTCCCCAGGAGAGATCTCAGCTGCCTTAATGGGAGAAAAAAGCTTATATTCCCTTTGCTGTCTCTGCACCGACTCTTGTGCTGGGAGCCAGGACCACAGAGATACATGACATGGCCCTGGGGAGACGGCTAAACAGCCCTGTCCACCCAGGCGGTGACAGGGGGAAGCAGGGGACTAGGTACACCTGGGAGGGGCCAGCCCAGGAAGAGGGCAGCACAGTCCTGGAGGGATTCCCGGTCCTGAGAATTGAGAAGAAAAGAGAAAGGGAAGGAGAAGAGGTAGGAGAAGAGGTAGAGCAGGCAGGGTGGTCTAGGCAGAGGTCAGCTTGCTCTAGGGTGCAGGTGTGGGAGAGAGCACGGTGCCTTCAGGGAACTGTCCCAACTGTAGGTTGGATGGGGGAAAGCTGAAAATGTGTCCACAGTCCAGATCTCAGCCTCCAGTGCCAGGTGAGGCTGTGGGAAGACTTAGCCAGAAAAGGGCCCTGGTCAGGTCTGCCCACCCCAACCTAGCACCAGCCACCTGCCAGCTCCTGCTCATCTGGCAGAAGCTTCTGCCCTCCCCCAAGGTCCACACTTACCATTCCAGAGTCCGAATGTGAGAAATCCCTAAGCAAGTTCACCTAGGTCCTTGCATCTGTCTGTGGCCGAAACACCACCCAGAACCCAGGTGAGAGCCCACCGTGCTGTGTTCTAACTCTGTGGCTCCCAAAGCCCCTCAGATGCTCACAGGGTCAGTCTCCTCACTTCTCCCAAGGTCTGACAGCATCGTGGGTGCACAGTGATAGCAGGTTCAAGGAACAACAATGAACACATTGAAATTTTTCTTGGGGGAGAAAAAAAAAAGCAGTTTCTTTATTTTCTGTGACTTATCTGAAAGTTCCCAGGAACTTCTGTTCTGATAATGGAGGAGTCAGTGGGAGGAAGGAGCAGGAGAGATTGCACAGGGGCTTTTAAACTCAGCAGCTACATGTTTGTCTTTTCTTCTTTTAAAAAATGTATTCATTTAGCCGAGTGCAGTGGTGCACACCTTTAATCCCAATGGCTTAAGAGGCTGAGGCAGGAGGATCGTGAGTTCACAGCCAGCCTCAGCAATGGCGAGGCACTAAGCAATTCAGTGAGACCCTGTCTCTAAATAAAATACAAAATAGGGCTGGGGATGGGGCTCAGTGGCTGAGTGCCCCTGAGTTCAATATCAAAAAAAAAATTATTTCCTCTCTCTCTCTCTCTCTCTCTTCCCAGTACTAGGGATTGATCCCCAGGCCTCACTCATGCTAAGCAAGTGTTCTACCACCGTGCAACGCCCCCCCCAGCCCTTGCTATTTTTCACTTTGAGTTAGGGTCTGCTAAGTTGCGCACGCTGTCTTTGAACTTGTGATCCTCCTGCCTCAGGCTTCCAGTAGCTGGGCTTACAGATTTGTGCCACCATGCTTGGCTTCAGTCTCTTGAATTTGGTCTTTTGGCATGTCTTCTTTCTTATGCCCCATCTTCCCCTTCCCAGGATTCCATCTGGGTTTAGGAGGAAATGACTGGATGTGTCATCAATGAATTAATGAGTTGGTTCACTCAGTAAATACAGTTGAATGGATTTCATGTGTCAGACTCTGTGATAGGTTCTAGAGTGACCAAAACAGAACAAAGCAAGATGAGCAAAACCTATGTCCTCTTTGACCTTACATTCTACTGGCCCAATGAATTTTTTAGAATAATAAGTGAAATTTGTAGTATGTCAGGTGATGAGTTCAATGAGTAGAATAGGTAGGAAAGGGGACAGCAAATACCAGGAGGTGGATTTGCCATGTTTAAGGGAGTGCTCGTGGCATGACTCTATGACCTTAGGGAGCACAAGGAGTAAGTGATGAGGAAGAACACATAGGCTTCAGGGAATAGCAGGTGCAAAGGCCCTGGGGCAGGAGCAGGAGGTGGTAATTAAGGCCCTGTGCCTGATCCTCACTGACTTCTGGGATAGCTGTCACTGGGTGTGGTCAGTGAGTGTTCTAGTACTTGCTACCAGATCCCCTGGCTGGTGAAATCCCCTGGCCTTGTCAGGGATTGGTCCCCCTTGATTTGACCCTTCATTTCAATCAATTCTTCCATGTGGTTTCCAGATTAAGGCTATTCCCACCTTCTCTTCCTGCCTTCCTCATTGGAGTCTGCCCTTGGCAGGTCCCTCTGGATCTCAACTCTCGTCACCTCTTTCCCTGTCTTCACCAGAGACAAGAGAATTTGCAGACTTTCCAGATCCATTTGATTCCACAGGGGAGCAGAGGGAAACATTTGGTAGCATCTCTCAGCCATTTCAAACCCCCCTTCAGGCGGTCCCATGCCACGCTGTGTCCTCGCAGCTGACAGAAATTTCTCTAAATCGCTGGCACTGTCCCTGAGCTATGCTCTGACCGCAGGGAGTGCGCCCCTGCCCTGGCGATCTCTCCAGAGCATCCTGCGTGTTTATAGCCACAGATCCTCTTGCCCTGCCTTTCCCCACGACTTCTCTCCGCTTCCCAGGGTCAGGTCAGCCCGCGGGCTGCAGCGGTGGAGCAGCACAAGACCTCTGTGTGCAGCTTGTCCCCACCGGGCTGGCAGAGGGAGATTGAGCTCTACCAGGGCCCTCAGGCCTGCTGCTGCGGCTACAGGAAGTGGGTCGAGACTGCCCAGTGCCCTGGAAACAATTGCAAGTGTTTTCCTTCCACTTCCTGTGGGCGAGATGGGACGTTGGGAGGAAGCTCCCTCAGCCTGACCCTTGACCCTGGAGCACCCAGTTCTTGCTTCTTAACTTGAACCACACTCACCTCCCTTCCCCCCTTCCCCTCACTGGACCAGAAGTTCTCTGAGGGTCGGTGTCTAACTCAGGGATAGTTGTACCTGCTCCCTGAAGTCCTCTTGGTCTATATCTGTGGCTATTTTCCTGGGATAGGCTTCTGGAAAGGAAGTTGCAAGGTAAAGATCATTCCTATTTTTAAAATGTGTAGATTCTTGCTAAATAACCTCCAAAGAGGCTAAAACAAAAAGCCTGAGTATCTTTCCTCTCTCCCTGACCAATAGCTCATCCTAACACTCAAGTTAAAAACCAAGATGCTGCTGTTGAAATTATGGTTTTTCCTTATCTTCTTTGTAAAATAAAACACAGAATCCCAGATATTGAAAAATCCCATAAAGCAAATGAGTGACTTAGTAAATGTGACCAGGTGCTCGTCCTATAACCGTCTCACCCAACGAAGACAGAACTGGGTTTGGCGTCAGACTAAGGGGAAGGGCTGAGTCTGACTCCAGGCAAAGCCAAACCTCAGCACAATGTGGACAGGGATTCACAGCAGGCCTCAGGCTGAGACATGGCTTCAGGACCCCCCATTTCCATGGAAAGTACAAAACTAAGAAATAGGTGGAATTTTGCATCCCCAAATTCCTTATCTGACAACTTTGTACCTGACAGAAATCCAGGGTACTTTTCAGATAGGAACCAGAAAGACCTGGTTCCTAGGGGAAGAATGATAATGATTTCAGTACAAAGTTCCCAATACTGGTGACTTGAGAAAAGAGGAATTCTCAGTGTTTTATCCTTTTATTAATGAATGGAAGCGATTTCGTGGTGTAACAAAATATTCTAGGCCCATCTTGTACAATTTCTGCACCAGATCTTGAGCGAGCTCTAAGGTTTGTAATAGCCAATTTTATCCTTGCCTGGTCTGCCTCGGAGTAGTAATTCCAGGGGTGTGGAGCCTTCAAAGAGCCCATTTCCATGTCCGCCCCCCGGCCTTTGTGCTTTTGCTTTACATTTCACTTCTATACCTGCTATAACCCCACAATGCATTGCTCTCATTTTGCTTTAAACGATCATCTTTTTCTTCCCAGTGCTGGGATTGAACCCAGGGCCTCGCACATATGAAGCAAATGGTCTTCCACTGTATCTCCAGCCCTAAGCAATTATATGTTTAAATGAGGACAAATGTGGTTCACTTTTGCCCACATATTTATCAATTCTGGCTCTCTTTACTCCTTTATGTAGACATCTAATCTTCCATCTGATATAATTTTTCTCCTGCCTGAATAACTTCTTTTAACACTTCTTGTAGTGACAGCTTTCAGTGATAACATTTCTCAGCTAAAGTTGTAGCTCCCCATTTTTAGAGGACTTATGCTGTGTAAAGAATTCTGGGTTGAGTCAGGCATGGT